CATATACGATTCCATATGGGTTTGCGACTTTTCACGTGAAGCGAGATCCACTCCACACCTCGGACATAGTTTGGGTAGGGTTATATTTTAACTGGGGTGGGGGCGGGGAGAGGAGGGGAGGAGGAGGGAGGGAGGGGGTGGGGCGCGCGCAGCGCGCCGTGCTAAACGCACTTGCAACTTACGTGTTTATGTCCATCATTTTTCTCGAAAACTATCACTCGTACAGTAAAAATAAATAGGACGTACAATGCATATTTCAAAGAGATCTACAACTTTTGTTTAAAACATTTTTCACAATTTTTAATATTTGGTGAGATAAATATCAGAAACCATATTCTATTCGTTAAACATTTTTTGTTAATAACTTTTTAACGAATCACGAGCGACGGCTAAAACCTTCTGAAAGTCACTCAGGGTCATGACCTTGACAACATATGTCAAGGTCATCGAGATTGGAGGGAGGTCCGTTATTCTATATAATTACCAAATTAATTTATTAAAATTAACAACGCCTCGGGATTAATTAAACCTACTACTACAAACCGCACGCACCTTCTTCTCTCGGCCGTTTCTCACATACATCTAAACAAATCCGATGAGCTCTCTCGGAGCGTGTTTTATTTTTGTTTATCTAGGGGTGCTTTCGCGACGTAGATCAAAATGATCCGGATCAAAATGATCCGTGCTATGATTGGTCAAATCTGGAATTTCATTGAATAAAATTTCAATGAGATGCTACGAAATTTCAGATTTGACCAATCATAGCACGGATCATTTTGATCTGGATCATTTTGATCTACGTCGCGAAAGCACCCCATGTAAGCGCGAGGGAGTCACCTAGCAACATTTCATTTTCTACTGTCTCGATCGCCGTGTCCCCGGCGCCCCGCTAGCCTGAACGGCCCCGGATCCTCCACACGAGACCCCCGTGCACGTTTACGACCTTTACCACCGAGTTTTTCAACGCACGAGGTCTTTGATTACAATGTGGCTTGACGGCCACGAGTCCATGTGACCCGTGCCACGGATCACCGGGCGGCCCGCGTGTCACTTATGACTTACGATTAATGAATATGAAACATTCTATGACTCCCTCACGCTTGTACAATGTACTTTTATTTCAATATACGAAAAAATGAACATAACGAACAAACTCCGAAAATGGACAAACTTCTCTCGTACCGAAGCGTTTTCTCCCGTAACAGTACAGTAATATAAAGTACAGTAAAAAAAGTGTAAATTAAAATAGTTATATCTCAGCAACCGTTTAGTGGATGCATTTTTACTTTTCCGCAGTACATTAGGAAGACTAAAAGAACAATTTCACAAATTTTTAGCGGCTTTGTACTATTTTGAAGATAGGTTCCCATACAGCACCAAAGCTTTCAGAAATATTTCAGAAACATTGCAGCATTGCAACAATGTTTTCTGAAATGTTTCTGAAGCTTTGGTGCTGTATGGGTCCGACACATCCTTAACACTAAATATATTGTTTTTTTAAATGTAGCGCAAGACGAATATTGTCAATGTGCGGTGGTAGTACACCCTGTCGTCTACATCGAAGTAGAAATGCCCTTTGTCGGTTAACGGTGCAAATCTTGAGTTTAGTGTTAATCCGCGATTTCACGAGTTCCACGATGTCCTGTCCATATACCGCAGTTGTATGTTTGAAGAAATTTCCATAGTTTGACACCACTTTCTAGGGTCGATGGTGTTTTTTCACTCACAAGTAGATTGAATATCGCCAGTAATATAAAACCAATGACATGTACTCTGGTAACGCGATCTGACGGTTCAGATACGACCCGCGGAAGTGCGCAAGAAACAGCCCAAAATTGCGACAGAAGTGCGTAATATCAGGGGCTCGACTCTTGAATTTATTCGAAGGAGAAACGTATGCGAAAATTCTGCTCTTACAGAAAAGTTGCAAGTTGATTGGCTATTCGCGTGGCTTTAACCAATCGACTTTCAACTTTTCCGTCAGAGCAGAATGTTCGTACACGTTTCTTCTTCGAATGATTTCGAGAATCGGGCCCCTGGTATTGACAAGTACTTACTATTGCAGCAGTCTGCTGTAAGAAGCTACTGTAAAATTTTATGCTATTTGCTAGAAGTAGACATGCAGCAGAAATGTGAAAACAACATTGAAGTATCTGCCTGACAGAAAAGTAACAGCAAGTCGCGTTAAACTCTTCATGCGCATTTGCAGCAGAGTTTTGAGTACAAATCCGACCGGCAGAAACGCGAAAAGAAACGTGCAAGCATCTGCCGCAATTCTCGTTGAATTCTGCTATTGTATGTATTACTAGTGGTAGGCGCTGCTACAAATCTAGCGCGATTATATTTGCGCAAACGTTTTCCGCATTTCCTGCACTTTTCTGCTTTACGTAAATGCATGCACATATCTTCAACAATTCTGTCGCACTACGATGAGCGCAATTTAAGTTTCTGCCAACAGAAAGACAGTCAAAGTTGGAAATAGAAAACGCACGGTCCGCCCGAAAGTTGACGCATGATTTCTCGTACAGTTTTACAGCAGAATTGCAATGGAAATGTTACCAGGGTGGTCTTTCGAAAACGACCTACACTGGCCAATGGTTTTATTTTATTTTATTTAAGTAACATTTTATTTAACAAACACACTGGCCAGTGCCGGTGCATTTTTGAAAGGCTACGTATCATTGGTTTTATATCGCTGGCGATATTAAATCTATTTGTGAGCTAGAGATAAAGGCTGGTCTACAATACATGGAGTAGGCTGGAGTAGGAGCAAGAAAATAAATCCATTTTATTTCTTACTCCTACTTCAGCTCTTAGGCTTACTCTCGGTGAATATTGCTGGCGATATTAAATCTATTTGTGAGCTAGAGATAAAGGCTGGTCTACAATACATGGAGTAGGAGTAAGAAAATAAATCCATTTTATTTCTTACTCCTACTTCAGCTCTTAGGCTTACTCTCGGTGAATATTGCTGGCGATATTAAATCTATTTGTGAGCTAGAGATAAAGGCTGGTCTACAATACACGGAGTAGGCTGGAGTAAGGAGTAAGGAAATAAATCCATTTTATAAGTAACAATGGCTCGTGTGATAAAATCAAAAAATCAAAAAATATAAAGGGCTCAGAGCCAAAACAAGGTGTTAGTGTTCAATAATGTTTAATAATATATATATATATATATTATTGTTTTGGCTCTGAGCCCCTTATATTTTTAAATCCATTTTATTTCTTACTCCTACTTCAGCCCTCAGGCTTACTCTCGGCGAATCAAAATGCCATCAATCAGTGTTACAAATATTTCAAAAATTATGCCCGTACTTCAGCTTCTCTACACCAAAAGCTAGAAGCTAGGGCTCTCCCTTACTCCTTACTCCACGCACTGTAGACCAGCGCTAATTGTTCGTCGTTGCAATGAATATTCGCGATGACACGTCCCGCGTTGACGACCGCGAGACGGGAGGCGGTTCACGGAGAGCCGGCGTTTATTCGCGCGACTTACATAGCGAACACTGCAGGAAGAGTAACAACAGTCGCTTGGAGGAGGGCAGTCCTGTGAACGAGAGCACCATTCTCGAAGGAGCAGTCGCGCTGACAGACGCGACCGAGTACGCGCGATCGAGAGGCACCTAACCTAACTTTTGCCGAACAGCTGCTCGATTCTCTCGCCGTGACAGCCGGCCGAGATAAAACGCGCGAGCGCGGAAGACCTCCCGGGCGGCCTTGCTGAAATGTTTTCCCTCAAATTTCGCGGAACGACGCAGACGCGGGGAATAAATGCCGTAACGTCTGCATTTATGCGGACTCGTCCCTCCTTTTCAGGTCACTTGGATAAAGAGTTTTGGGCGGCGGAGCGGTTGTCTCTCGGTGCATTTTGAAAGATCGTTCACTCGAGTTGTCCGAGAGAAAATTGTAACGTCGACGAGAAGAGAGAAGCGGCGCAATTTCGGTCTCGATATCCCGCTAAACTGAAGCCAGTTGCACGCGTAATCCGCGTCGAGTTTCCCGCCCCCTCGTGTTCGAGAGGTAATGTTCTGAACTTTGTTGAAGTTTGAATTCGCGACTTACTTCAGGTCGACGGAAAGCGACGGGGAGAGTTCGACGGGCGCCGCCGTCAAGTAACTGCGATTAGGAGCGGAATGTGGCGGGAATGGCGAGAGAGAAGCTGGAGGGAACTGGGAGGCGCGTCATCGGCGATCATCGGCGATGAGGAAAAAAGGTATAGCGACGCAGGTGGGCACCGGCAAGGTGATCCGGTAGCCCAGAGTCAGCCTCGCGAGCGGCGAGCGACCGGACGGTCTCTCACGTGCGCCGTCACGTATTCGGGTGTTCGGGAGTAGCCTCTTCCCCGTCGTCGCGGCGCAGATGGGAGGCCACTTTGAACTAATTAACCTCGTTGGTCCGCCGCGAGGCTGAGGTTCACACGGCGTGGCAAGAGAGATCGGCTGGCGCTCATACATAACGCGCGCCGGCACAGCGGAAGGTCGCGCGGTCAATCAGCCAATACTTAATTCACCGTTCATTTATTACAATCTTGGTCTATTACAGCCTGTTACATCGGCACGAGCAAGTGGCCGGGTTTAAGCGAATCGTTATCCGCCGGCGTATCTACCTCCGCGAGAAGTAGAAGGAAGAGAGTAAAAAAAAAAGTTAACGCACGGGCGACTCGGCGAGAATCCATCAAGTTGGACCGCTCGTCTTCGACACTTGGCCCCAGTAGCGCAATACATTGGCGCGATATTGGGGAATTAATGTAAATCCAGCGATTCCAGTATTGGTCCAATAAGATGGACGCCTTCTCTTATTTAGGGCCAGTTTCACAAACACCGGTTACCTGTTAACCGCGGTTCAGTCGACTCCCCATCTTTTTCCACCTTATTATCTAAGAAGAGACAGAATCAATTAACCGGTCGGTTAGCGGTTAACCGACCTTTGTGAAACTGGCCCTTGGCCAATGTGTCTATTTAGGGCCAGTTTCGCAAACGCCGGTTTACTGTTAACCAGAGTTCAGTCAACTCCCTATCCTTTTCTATCTTGTTCTCTAAGAAGAGACAGAGAATCAATTAACCGTCAGTTAGCAGGTAACCGACCTTTGTGAAACTGGCCCTTAGCAATATTGGTCCAATATTGTGTCAATATTAGACCAATATTGTTATTAGATTGTTAAATATTGACCAATGCACTCGCAATATAAATGTAATATTATATAATTATTGTCGTGCAATATTTACATTTATTTCATATTTCGCCAATATTGGCTTTACGTCGGACAGTATCGGCCAATGCATTTCTAATATAACCAACATTGGACCAATGTTCAGCCAATGCACTGTGCTACTACGGTATGCTCTTCATAATTCTTAAGGCAGTTGTTTCGCGACAGTAATGCTCGTAAGTTTATTCCATTACTTTACATTTGTTTCTCACACGAATCACACTCACCGTTAAGCTTAAAGAAAATAAAATGTGCCATCATTTGCGTTTGCATACGCAAATATTAATATTTTAACATACAGTAATATGTGTAAATAATATTTCACGTGTAATAATAGGACAACAAATTATATTGTTACGTGTAATAATATTTTAAACGTATTATAATATTGCGTGTAACATAGCAAACTTTAAAATTTTTTTTAGAACTTTGAGACTTTCATTTAATTGGTCTTATTTTGCACGTATTGATGTAAAGAATAAACTGTAAAAATTTGAAACAATTCTCACATAAGTGATTGTACGAAATAACTACCTTAAGTAATTAAAAAAAAATTTTGATTGCTATAAAATGAGTGAATTTAAGAAAGAATTAGGAAATAAAAGTAGGAAAAAAACATCGGGCACTTATCTATTTTTAGACATTACAGGCTGCTGAAAGATTTTTATGTTAATTCTGTCTCTATTTTAAGGCATTATGAAGTAACGAATGTATAATGAAATATCGATTCGTGGAAACTCTTATCACAGTTTATCTAATGCTTTTTATTGGGAGCCTTTGACAATGTTTCACAAGATCGTGATAGGAGATAAGAGATTTCTCACTTGATCTACAACAGTCGTCTGTTAAATAATACATATTAGATCTTATAATTAGCAAATTTGCAATAACATGATATAATTAATTTCTCAGTGTTTAAGAGAAATTTAAAAAATTATTAAAGAAATAATTGTACTTTTTGACTTTAAAGATCGGTAATTTTTAATCGTTGGCGTTCTCTAATTTAGTTCTTTTTTTAAACTTGGAGAGCAACAAAAAAGAAGAGTCGAGAGCAAACATGTGTCAGTGGAAAAGTAGCTTTTGCTTAGCCTAGATTTCGCAATAAATACGTTAATTTAACTTTCCGGGTTTTTTTAGTCTCGAATTAATGAAACACCTTGTGTTATCCTTACAGTGTAACTCAATTAATCCGTCTTGTCAGTATCCATTGCCTTCTCAGCCCTAAGAGTCCCTCGTGCTTCCGCGTTTCGCATTGAGGCTGTCAGGTGAAATTCATATTGTTGTTAAAAATAACAGAGTTTACACAAATGTTCCTCTATTCGCAGAATATGATAAGAAATTTCGGCGACCACTTGTCCGGTTAGCCGACGTGTCGCAACGCACACACGACCGATGTCGACGATCAACTAAACATTGAGGCGAAGTTTCCGTGCACAGATGAAACGTACGAGAGGAGAGCACGTCAGACATTGACGTCAAGATAAACCGTAATCGTGGCGTTTCGCAGGAATCACCACGTAATGAATGTGATTACATGTGTCGAGGTAAGTGCACATTAGCCGAAAGAGAAAGAGAATGAAGATATCTTTTATCAAGGTCGTACGATATATCTGACAACTAACTAAACAGTATTTGTGCCTTCTGAATCTCATCTGTGCAAATTTATCGGTTCACCAGTTTACAGAGATAAGGATCGATCCTGTACACAATGTGTGGTATGTATGAAATATTCGGTCACTTTATGTATGTTATATATAAATGTCGAATATAAAGAGCCGGTAGCTTTTCACTACTGAATATTAGATACGCGTAGAAAAGAAAAGAGAAAAAAATGGATTGCGTACGTGCCCGTGCATGACGATTCCTATATTAGTACGATCAGATAAGCTTGATGAAATCGTTTGAATTTGCGAGATAAACTTGTCTTCTTCGATAGAATATGTTTATTAATTTTAAGAGTCAATGTTACATGTTTCTCTTGTTCTGCTGTGATATAATGTTAATGCAGGCAATGATACTTTCTGTTAATTCTAGATTGATTTTTATACTTCATCTATCAATCGATAGTGATGAACTAAAGACTAACCAATTGCTGTGCTCTGCACACACATACCCGCGCGCGCGGAACCCTGTCCCCCTCCTTTGGAACAGCTACGTTTAACCGTTAGACACAATGTACGTTGTTAGCAAAATTATTGTCGATTTCTTCATGACTGAGCAGTTGCAACGTGTCAAATTCAGTGGGTGCGTTCAGCAAAGAAATTTTCCAGCGAGAAATTCTCGTCAGTCGATGTCGAAACGATATCTAATCTAAAACCATGTGCAAATCAAGTTCATGAATATTTAACGAATTATTTAACACTGCATTGCTTTGTAACTGTGGAAATTAGAGAATCTATAAATTCACGAATCTGATTTGCATGTTGTTTTAGAGTTTCAGCATAAGGTCCAGAGCATATACGCATTCACGAACAGCTCTAAAGCAGCTTTCTCACTGATTGTTTGTAGTATTGCGCTCGTACATCTGATTAATATTCGGATTAATAAGGACACTACAAAGACCGTTGTTTCTGAATTATTTTGATATTACACACACACACACACACACACACACACACACACAACGCTCAATTCACCTGTGATGGTGCGTCGTCGATATCGTGAAATCACTTAAAAAATTTCGTTGGATCTGAAAATCTAAGGATCTTGATAATGAAATGATCTCATGGAACTCGAATAATTTATATGAATTCAAGACTCATACTAGGGACTTATGAGCTGTTCCAGAACTTGAAGAATTCAGGAAAAGAGTGGAAAAGCACGCACCATATAGCTCACATAGCTTCGGCGATTTCTTCGAGACAGCTTCGATGCGGTCGTTTTTTTCCAACATGTCACGAATTTCGATCTCTTCACACTCGGGAGGCATCTCTTTTTTTATTTTTCTCAGTGATCGGCCTCCTGCTTGGTATACGTGTCGCCTCGGACTACCCGGCACTAGTCCTGCGTGCTCGCAATCAATATCAATCCCGGGGTGAACACTGAACACCGGTGTGAAGTTTCCCTCCCTGAACCTTTGCGTGCCTGTTTCCCCACCGAGGAATCCCCACCTTGATCAATGCAGGCACGTTAAGACGACACGAGTCAGTACGATTCAAACTACTATCCCGACCACATTAGGCTTTTGCGATTGTATTTTTAGATATATTGAACACATTGAAACAAATACAAAAGTGGTTTTAATATGTCGTTCAATTAAAATAAGTCATTTATCAATAAAATGCATATATACCCATCGAATACTTTCACAAGCAATTGACGATCTGAAAAAGGCCTTATGATAACAAATGCTGGACAGCACATAAAAGACGCCTTTCTAACTGTGTTCTAATACATATTGTCTGGAAATGTCCCCTCATGGCTATTAAAGAAAATATTCAAGATTTATACATGCATGTTTTCAATGAAAAACATGCTATTTCATCTTGTTTGGAAAAAGAGCACTGCGTGCATTTGCATCACATTTATGTCATGTCACTTGTCCCCGATTTACTAACTGTACACCTAATTTTCTTTCTGTTATGTTACAGTGTCAAAGAAACGGTGTCAAATAATTTAAAGTTTCACCAAATTAACTCGCAGTGGGATCGATCTGTTGACAGAATCGCGCTGGCATAATAGTTTTATTAATTTAATTGACTCTAAGTTAAATGAACGATATAATTTCACATAAAATTGCACAA